CTTCCTTAGGACGTGTTCTAAGTCTGTGAGGTTTTCTGCTAATATTATGGTGTCATCTGCATGTCTTAGACTTAGATTGTTGATATTCCTTCCTCCTATTTTCACTCCTCCTTCTTCTGTGTCCAAGCCTGTTTTTCTTATGATATGTTTTGCATACAAATTGAACAGGATGAAAGGATACAGCCTTGTCTGACTCCTTTGCCAATTGGGAACCATTCTGTTTCTCCATGTTCTGTTCTTGTCCAGAGTACAGATTCCTCCTGAGGACTATCAGATGGGTTGGCACTCCCATGTCTTTAAGGGCGTTCCATAGCTTTTCATGATCTACTGAGGGAATATTGCTTTTGAGGGACAGTTGGTTTCATAAATGTGATGCTTATCTTACTTCTAATGGAACAAGATAGTTCAGTGAGACGATACAAACTTGGACTCATGACGGGGACCTGGGACGCCTCTCTACTGAAGTAGGGCTTCATTCTGGCAACATTAATCATTTATTTAAGTGGAAGGGGGATTCTTGTTCCCATTGTTTTTCTTATGTGAGCAGCTGTGGTTGTGGGGGAGGCAGTATTGCACACAGAAGAAAGATCATTAACCAAGTGGCTATCGCTTGGCCATGACCTAAAATGGCGGTCGCAAAAGGAGGACAGGCAGGACAGTGGAGTAAATAGTTCATCCTCCACTTGGAACACACTTGGTCTTTATTGTATCATGAGCATGTGTCTTGACATAACTGTTTGCTCGGACTTTTCTGCCTTGCCGATCTGAAGCTTTTGTTGGTGTAAGCCCAGGAGGAAAATAATTTTGGTTCTTCTGGGTGTATTAAGCTGAAACCGTATATGTGGTTTCAGCCTTCTAGATTCTGGGAGTAGCTCTTCTTTTTCTTAATCTGAAAATGCGGATGTTCCTGAAGACCCTGATGAGAACGACCATCACCCTGGAGGTAGAACCAAATGAATCCCTGGAGAATGTCAAGGCCAAGATCCAAGATAAAGAAGGCACTGCTCTGGAAACAGCAGAGGCTGATCTTTGCTGGGAAGCATCTGGAAGATGGCTGCACTCTTTCGGACTACAAAATCCAGAAGGAGTGCACCTCATTTTGCATTTGATGGGTGATATTTAAAGTTGCCGTTTGCCTACAACCACCCAAATAAAATCCATTGCAATTTCTTTCAAGAAAGCTGTTGCATTCCCAAATATTGTTTGTTGCCTTTTTAAAAAAAAAACCATGTACCAAACACTTTTGCACAGGAACGACTAGCTTTCATTCAGGATGATATATAGACTAGCTTTAACTTGAACCTTTTCCTAAATAGTTTTTGGTTGTTGTTCACTGCCCTCGAGCGGATCTTGACTCATGGCAACCCCAATGGATGAGACATCTCCAAGATGATCCTCTGTCCTCCACTGCTCAGCTTAAGTCCTGCAGTCCCTTCATACCCATTGCCTCCTTATAATAGAGTCCATCCATCTGGTATGTGGTCTTCTTCTCTTCCTTCTTCCCTCTACCTTCCCCAGCATTGTTGTCTTTTCCAGCGATTCATGCCTTCTCATGATGTGTCCAAA